CACACACACACACACACACACACACACACACATGCATACACACACACACACACACACACACACACAATATGTTTTTGTTGTTGTTGTTCAGTTTATTCTCAGAAAACATATTGATAGTGTATTCATCTAGTCTGGCCATTTTATTTAAAAAATGACTAACTGTCAGTTTTACAGATGCTGAGCTAAGATTTGTTGCAGTAGTAGCTGAGAGTCACACCTAACACAAACTGAGAGCTACCAAATCACGTAATTTATATCTAATACTGATATCCACAACCACATACAGTATATACACACATTATTTTATGAACTGCCATTTTTTATTTTTTAATTGTTACATATTGCAGAAAATGTAAAAGAAAAAGGAAAGAAAAAAATGTGGACAATAACATGAATGAAAAAGTTCAGTCCTGATGTCAAACACATGATCTAACCCTTGTACGGTGCATGTTTGTCCATGTTATTACTGTTATTACTGACTGCATGGTGTGAGTCGCAGGTTGTGGGGAAATGAGGTTGTGTTTGGAGATGAGGTGAATCTGTGATGCTTCACTCTGCCCTGGAGGTAATTCTGCGCTGCCTTGTTTTCTTCGTGAGAAAATCTGAAGGAGTGATTGCGAGACATCTGCCCCTCTGAGCGCTCTCACATGTCTCCTGCGCAGTCAGATGAGTCTCGACTTTTTCAGATCTGTATAAGTAGGCTTTTCAAATTTGACTCTGGTTGCCTTTTAAAATGGCAAGGACATTTTGTAACGGATTCATTCTAGAGTTTCAGCATTATCATGAATGGACAAAGTTTCATTGATTAGAGTAGTTTTTCTTTCACATTCACAGTCATTCAGTTTTCAGAACACTTAGATCTGAAACTTCCTTGCAGGAAATTCTGTAATTTCTCTGAATTAAATTGTTGGTCATCCACAGAGATAGCTTTTTTTTTTTACTCCTCACTTTCTGTTTATGACAAACAGCTGGTACCAAACAGCCATTAATATAGCCAGCTTATCTCTGTGTTTGATCGCAGTTGGAAAATAATGCACTGCTGCCTCTCTCTGGACACCAGTTTAAACTGCAAGAAATKATACTTAAAGAAACAGACTGGTTTTCATTTCTTAAAGTTATGTCTCATAATCCTTATAGGAAGACCTTGCTGTGTCCTTTGAGTGCAAAATTTACACACAGCTGTCATATCCAATAACACACTGAGCTAAATTAGAATTTTCAAACTAAACCGGAAAATCAATTATTATTTTCTTCTCTTAAATGATTTCATTTCAGGTTTTCATAAAGCCCCATGCGTGGGGCAGACTGATGTCTCATTTGAAATTTGCTGCTAATAAAGAATGACTGAAGCTCTTCATGTTATTTTTTATTCATTTTCTTATGGTCCCTGTTTAGTGGATTGATTTGAAAAAGTTCATCAAAAAAGAAGTTTGATTTCTGTGTGTGTGTTTTTGTTACCTTGTGTTTCAATACACACCAAGTCCCGTAGCAACAATGCTTTACTGATATAATGTAAAGCTCTTTGTTGTGCAAACCACGACTTCTGCACTGGACTCAGTTGTAGCTGCARTTCATCTTGACTGACATCCWGGGGCTTACTGACATCATATACTGTGTAGGGAGCTATTTTAGTTACTCTGACCAACGCTATTAAATCTTTAGGGAACAATATTGTCACAAACTAAAGAATAAAGTCTATGGACATTTTTACAGGCTCCCACAAGACAAAAATGAAGAGYCCWGCATTYTTTGAATGAATGTATATTGCCTAAAGCCCTTAATACCAGTGTTACATACATCCATTATCTATTCCTGTTTCTTTATGGGCGTCACTGGTGCCCATATCCAGCAGTCACTGTGGGGGCAGGGTACACTCTGTAAATCGCAAGTTCATCACACATTCCAGTTCACTTGTTGTTGTTTTAGTTTTTTTATTATTAATAATATAGTGAAAAAAGATGTAGTTGCAGCTTTTTAGGTCAAACATTAAAAACCTAAAATTGACCAGACACTTTGGTTAGAAAAACAAATCTTAGCAAATTCTACCAAGACAAAATCCTAAAAGAGGTTGATTTTAAGGTTGTATGAATACTTTACTTTTTTTTCCTTTAGAATTCACATTTTTTAAATTATACTGATATCAGTGAGTTTTTATTCTAAAATACCAGCATAATGTCCTCCTGCAGTGCACTAAAACTTTTGTCTGAGTCCTTTACTAGGGCACCTCAGCTGCTTCATTTGAAGCTCCAGCTCCTCACGTCTTCTCAGCTATTGATCAGGAGCCTGTTCAATAACTCAAATAATAGCATTGGAAAATAGTATGCAGTTTGTCTTCAGTCAGCTCATTTTGGTGGTAGGCAATGACCCTTGCAGACAGGCCTTCTAAATCATCCTGTGACATAATGAACGAGGTCATTTGTAAGTGTGCCATGCTATGATTACCTGTTCCTCGCAGCCGAGACTTGTGACCTCCCTGTGGTTCAAGAAGGACAGATGGGTCACTGTGAACCTGAGCGCACTCACTAAAAGTCATGAGCTGACAGAAAGAAAGAAGTTTCTACTTTAACAAAAGTAGTTTTTGAAAAGATGCCAAAGGTTGATTCATGACACAGTTTGTCAGCTCGGAGCAAATATCTCCGAGGAAGTCAGAGCAGCAGAAATGTCTTCATGTGGACTTGACCAGTGTTTCAATATTGTGAAATTTGAGTTTTAGATTTGCAGCACAACTGTGCAAGAAAGAAATGTTACAAATTAGTGTTGAACTCTGAGACTGGAGTCATCTTAAAGTGGCAACAATACACTTTGGTCTTGTTGCTTCCCAGTCCAGCTGTTAGTTCATCAGTATGGTCAGAATAAACCACACAAAGAGCTGTGTAAAACAGGTCAGATGGTAATTGCTCAGTCTTTCCATTAAATCCCACTTCAAAAGATCTAAACCATCACTTTGCCCCAGTGTGGAACTTATATAAAGAAAAAAACACAAAATAAAATTAGAAAAATATCCCCTGAAGTCATATTCCTTTTTGTTTTATTTTACTTTTTGCCACTGAAAGTTTTAAATTTTAATCTACTGTATGCTATGATCTTTATTAGACAATGACAGAAAAACAGAAGAGTAAGATGAGAGCAGAGCATGACAAGAAGTGGAGCTACAAAAACAGATACTAACTTTTCACTGCKTGAAAAGTGCAGTTAATCAAAAGAGGCTTCTGATACGTCCAGTTATCCCATTAAGTCCCRTCAGTGTGACATTAAAACTATTTCCACACGAGGCACTAATGTCTTCATCAGACTGTAAAAGTGACAGCATTAAGTCATCCGTGGCTTCCTTTGCTTTTTAATGGCCCTTTTAATGCTTCACTCAGACAACGAAGAAAATGAACATGACAGAAAAAGTCATGATCGACACGAATGGGTGACATGAATTCCTTTATATTTTACTTCTTTCCATGTTTTTGTTTTGCTTTATTTGTTTCAGAAAGAGGCAAAAAATGACAACTGAGCTAAAATTATGAAATAATTGTCTAAAAATATTTATAAGGCCTCTTCCACACCTCTGAGAAGATTTAAGAATACATTTAAAGGCTGATGACAAAACATTACATTACATGAGAAGGTTAAGTACATATATTGAACATTCTTAAAAATCAGTCTTATTTATTTCCTTCTGATAAGGAATTTGACAGACACAAAAATTCTAAAACATCTTATATGTTTTTAGCARTTTATAAATTATGTTTAATATGGTTTTGACCAAATTATTGATCAGTTTTATGTTTTAATAACAGAGCATAAATGTCGTGTTTAAAACAATATTTTCATTCATTTCTCTGCTAAATGTTTTTTATGTGTGTGTTGAAACAATCAGCAGCATTTACCTCAAACTAGCACTGGATTATTTTTTCTCTTGTATAATGGGTGATAATCTTGATTTTGACTAACTAACTCCCCTAAAAGCTTCTTGGTAAGAGGGACTTTCACAAAGACATCCTCTTCTCCAGTTTGATTCGAATACCCTGCTCCGGTCGCAGGATGAGCTCTCCGACTGGATTAAGCTCCTCGCGTTCCTGACAAGCTTCGACGCTGAAGTTACGCAGGATGGAYGCCAGAACCACCTTTTCCTCCATCAGTGCGAAACGCTGACCTAAAAATATCAGTTAATGATAACCGATTATTATAGAGACAAATCTAACAATAAAAAAAGTAAAACTGTCCGTTTCTTACCTATACAGTTGCGGAGTCCAGCTGAGAAAGGGACATATGCATACGGGGGTCTTCCAACTGAATTCTCAGGAAAAAAACGCTCTGGCCTGAACTCCTCAGGCTCAGGGAAGTATCGAGGGTCACGGTGAAGAGCGTAGGTGATTACGATCGCATTTGCACCTTTAGGAATCTTGAAACCACCTATGAGTAAAAGCATAAAAAGTATCTTATTGCCTGCTGTTGCGCTAGGCTGCTGGTTGTGGAGGTGGTGCTCAGTGTTYACAACAGAAGGGAGAATAATGAAAATACTCCAAGCTGCTGCTGCCGTCCGCTTTCTGTTTTTTGCAAACTACCATGATTCTGAGTGACTATTAGGGGTGTAAGGATACACCTCAGTCACAGTTTGATACATACAGTACAGTACATYGTTATGGGGGTGACTGTTCAGTAGCAGGGAAGAAACACAAATGACAAATGCTGTTATTTTTATTTTAACAAACAACAACTCTCCCAGAAGMAAATGCATGAGACTGAAATAAGCTGCTTTAAACATCACAAGATGTGAAGCATTAGTTTTCATAGATGCAAGACAAAGGTTTGGCATCTCAGGTGGAGTAAAAATCCAACTTAAGGTCACAAGTCACAAAACTGTAGAATTTGTCAATTATTTAGCAGAAACAAAATTACTGTCATTTTTTATCCAACCTTAATTGTAAACAGCAATCAACAGACCATGTGTCAAAAAATRTTTGATCAATTAAACAAACAAACAATTAATTAATTAAAATAAAATAAAAGATGGATATGAACTTCATGTTACACAACCCCAGATTTTTGATTCAGTCGTCAACTTTCTCCWGTAACTTACTGATAAGGCAGTCGTCGCAGAGACTTCGAGCAAAGAAAGGCACAGAGGGAAACAGTCGCAGAGACTCTTTAATCACGCAGTCCAGGTACTTGAGCTTCTTCAGGTCTTCTGTGGTCATGGGTCGACTAGATGAACCTTTAAATAGAAAAGACTGTGCTAAAACTGATTTTACAGCATTGGTTAGTCTGTAAATCTGAATTAAAATTACAAATGTCTTAATAGTGGAAACTGCTTAATTTTTACTCTGACTGATCTTTTTCAGCACACAATAGTGAAACCATCAGCAATGAGCCTAAATAAATAGGAAATAAATYCATTAACAGATTAAACTTGTCAGTCAATTTTAAATGACAAAAATAGGCACCTAATTAGTCCTCCTGTAAGTCTTTAGGTCTTAGAGCTGATGAAAAAAATGTTTCTGTTGCTGGAGCAAATACAACAATCATTTTATGAATATCTTGGTTCTCCTTGTTTAAGAGCAAAACTGTTTAAATACAAATGTATCAAAAGCCTTGGCGCAAGAAAACAAGAAAACACACATCATTAAAGAAAAGAAGAAAATGGGGTTTACTGTTACCAAACACCTCCTGCAGCTCTTGTTGAACTTTTTGTTGCGCCTCAGGATGGGAGCCAAGAAGATGCAGAGCCCAGTTCATTGCAGCAGCTGTAGTATCGTGTCCCTGAAAACAAAACAATATGTTAATCTTAACTGAACACTATTTTTCTTGTTCCTAGCAACATTTTCAACTATTTAAAATAATTAGTTCAGATCTTTTGCAGTGGGACTTTTGTGGAAAAGTCAAAAACAATTAATATCTTACCTGTTATAGATAGCTCTTTGAAGGACTTCAGTTTACAGAAATCAAAGTTCAATTTTGGCTAGATTTATATATCAGTAKTTCTGCAGAAATAATCATACAATGTGAAATGGACAGTAAAGTAAAAGTTTATAAAATACTGTTTACAAGAACTTGTCTAAATTTTGAGACAAAAATTTCATTAAGAAGACAGCAAAGTCCAAAGAGCTCTCTACAATAGGTAAGATATTGCTTATAACTTTTCCACAGAACCCCATTCCAAAGACCATTGCTCTACATARGCAGGTGCTGATCATAAAATTAGAATTTCATGAAAAGGTTTGTTTCAGTAAGAAAAAGGAGGATGATAAGRAGCAGTGGAGCTAGACAAACAGAAATACTAACTTTTCATTGTTCAACTTATTTCARTAATTCCATTCAAAAAGTTAAACTTGTATATTAAATTCATTCATTACACACAGACTGACATAATTCAAATGTTTATTTCTTTTAATTAGATGGTTATAACAGACAACTAATGAAAAACCCAAATTCTCAGAAAATTTGAATATTGTGAAAAGGCTCAATATTGAAGACACCTGGTGCCACACTAATCAGCTAATTAACTCAAAMCACCTGCAAAGGCCTTTAAATAGTCTACCAGTCAAGTTCTGTAGTCTACACAATCATTGGGAAGACTGCTGACTTGACAGTTATCTTAAAGACGACCACCGACACCTTGCAAAAGGAGGACAAGACACAAAAGGTTATTGCTAAAGAGGCAGGCTGTTCACAGAGCTCTGTGCCCAACACATTAATAGAGAGGCAAAGGGAAGGAAAAGATGTGGTAGAAAAAATTGTACAAGCAATAGGGACGAAGGTGGACTGCTGCTGAGTGGTCCAAAGTTCTGTTCTCTGATGAAAGTAAATTTTGAATTTCCTTTGGAAATCAAGGTTCCAGAGTCTGAAGGAAGAGAGGAGAGGCACAGAATCCATGCTGCTTGAGGTTCAGTGTAAAGTTTCCGCAGTCAGTGATGGTTTGGGGTGCCATGTCATCTGCTGGTGTTGGTCCACTGTGTTTTCTGAGGTCCAAGGTCAACGCAGCCAACTACCAGGAAGTTTTAGAGCACTTCCTGCTGCTGACCAACTTTATAGAGATGCAGATTTCATTTTCCAACAGGACTTGGCACCTGCACACAGTGTCAAAGCTACCAGTACCTGGTTTAAGGACCATGGTATCCCTGCTCTTAATTGGCCAGCAAACTCTCCTGACCTTAACCCCATAGAAAATCTATGTGGTATTGTGAAGAAGAAGATGCAATGTGCCCGACCCAACAATTTATAAGAACTCAAGGCCACTATTATTTACAGTGGTTTGCAAAAGTATTCATACCCCTTGAACTTTTCCATATTTTGTCACATTACAACCACAAACATAAATAT